ATGAGACACGAGATGGGAGCAGAGAGCTCCAGTTCTGACTACATACAGAAAGGTAGAATACATTTATGCCCTCAATTCAGAGCAAAAGGGCACACACAGTACGGCTTACTCAAAATGGTGCTGCTAACAAAAATCTCTGACTCAAATTCAGTGCATGGGAAGTGGCTAGATAAGATATCAAGCATTAAGAGACAATCATTTTATCAGTAATGTTACATTTTGTGTCATTTATCATAATCATAATAATCTTTTGTGACAATTTCTATATGTTTTTTTTTAAAGAGAATTACAAAGGCTTTTAAAAAAAAATGCTAAAATGATGTAGAAAAGTTGGTATGAAATCAAAAATATAGTTGCAACAGCATCTAATTCAGAGTCCTAGAAATTCTACTATTACTTCTGTTCCGAGTCAAAAGGTACAAACACCCTGAGTAAATAAAATGATTTACTTGTTCATTACATGTAACTAAAATGGCAATATTTTTATTATTAATCCTACATTCTGTGTTATTAAACAGAAGCATACATTCAAATGGCACTGCTATAAACATGACTACAGACTCCCATACAGTTATAGTGTAATTTAGGTTGGAAGGAATCTCTGCAGGTCATCTTATCTAACCCCTCCCCTGGCTAAAAAATAACCAACTCAGACTGGTTGCTTAAGGCCTAGTCCAGTTGACTTTTAAGTATCTCCAAGGATAAAGATTCCACAAGCTCTCTGGGCAACCTGCTTGACTATCCTCACTGTGAAAAATGACTTCCCAGTATCCAGTCACAATTTTCCTTCTTGCAATCTGTTATCTGTTGCTTCCTGTCCTTTCACTGTGCTCCCTCTAGAAGAGTTGGATGCTGTCTTCTCCATATGCACACATCAGATAGCTGCAGATAGCAACAGCATCCCTCTTTAGCCTCTTTTTAGGACTGACCAAACCCAGTTCTCTCAACCCTTCCTCACAGATCATGTACTCTAATTCACTATATGGAGGTGCTCTGCCGAACTGCCTCCAAGATTTCAAAGTTCTTCTTGTTTTGGGGAGCCCAAAATTATACGTAACTGTATGCACACATACATTTCAGAAATAAAAGGCATTGTAACAGAAACAATTCTTCCTCTTTTTTGCATACTTGGATCTTCATAAATCTGAATGGTAAAATTAGCGCTATGAACCAATTCCTTCTTTATCGTTAGAAACTAAAGATGTCAAGAGATTTCCACCCTGCTCTGTTCTCTGCTTCTTCTTCTTCTTCCCCACTCTCACCACACACGTTCTCCGAGATTCACAACATGATATCACACATGAAAGAGAAGAAAGTTTCAGAATCTTTAAATGCTAATTTTCACACTAGTGATACCTATAATTAATGCAACACTTTTGGGCAGCAGAGTTTCAAGTAAAGGAAAGGATTTGCTATAAAGAACAATTTAAATTTTCTTAAACTACAAAGCACAGGGAAAATGCAACATGAACTTTCCTTGGTGTTTTTCAAGGTATCAGGGGATCATACAGATGGAAGAAGGCACTCCCAATTAAAAATAAAATAAAATAAAAATAAAATAAAAATAGCACTACCCCAAACATCAAAACCCAAAAATATAGCTTTTTGAAAATACTTCCATGGTACCCAATTCTGCAGCATCTTTAAAAAGAGCTACCAATAGGGAACAGAGTAATTGCCAATTTCACAGTCACAACCATGGTCTTCCTGCAGTTATTATGCACCTTCGTAGACTTCTCCAGTTAAATTTGCTTTTAAATTTCCAGAAAGCAAAAAAAAAAAGAAGAATTTAATTCTTAAAATTATGTATTTGCTAGTTATTATTACACATATCATAAAAGCGTATCATTAGGCTTGCCCCTAACTCCCTGCCCCTAACTAGACACTGTTTTCTCCATTTTTCATTTTGAGGAAATGAGCTTTTATGAAAAAAAAAAAATCAAGTTTTAATGTAAGAAAGAAGCACCAATACAAAAGCATCATAACTATACAATATTTTAGAATGAATATATCAATGATTCCCCTTTTTTACGTCCGTATATCCTGACATACTATAGTCATTTTGCAGAACATAAACAGGATCTCAGGTCATCTGTGAAAAACCTGCAGTTTGGAGTCCCTGTTGATTCCACCAAAAAGAACTTATAATGGGTACTTTTATGTCCACGTAGTGTCTGAATAAATGTAAAAGGACATCCTATAACTAGATAATGTTTGCTAAAACATCACTTTGCAGTATGGGGATTTTACAACACAGTGAAGGCAAAAGAACAATAAAGATTAAAAAAAAAAGAAAATTATCAGCTCATGATTAATTGTTGAATACTTTCAGATGTAAGACATCTTTCTAAAATATCCTCTCAAGTGCTGTTCATTTTTACAGTGGATAGAATTTTACAGTGAATAGCATTAACAGCAATAAATGACACTGATCAACCTTTTTTCAACTCAACAACTGCTTGTCAATATAATCAACAGGCTGAAAATTGCAGAAAAGCATTAATATAATTTTTTAATGGTTGATCATATTTGGATAGTGATCCTGTCCCAAGGAGTTTAGTTGAATGTGATCAGAAATTTTCTACGCTGCAATTTACAATTAAGTTGATATTTAAAACATACCAGATAGTTCCTAGAAAGAACAGGAAGTATTAAAAAAAAAAAAAAGGTATGCTAATTTTCTTAGTTTAATTATCAAGTTAGTTACACCTTCAACTGCTTTATTTGACGTAGATTGTAATAGAATAATTCTTGAAGAACTGATTTTAACCCCTGCAAGACAAAAAACACAACCTCCCCCAAACATACAAACATTAAGCTTCTGATCTGAACCTCTGAGGTATGAAATTGGAATAAAATTGCTCTCCAATGATACACTGCATGATTAAGGACAGGAAATACTATTGGTCACACACATATTGTTACTTGATTCTGATACAAATATCTATTTTGGTGTGCTAATTTTTGTTTAATTCAGGTCATCTCTAACATAGTTAATTAAGACTCCAAGAAACGACTGATGCATATCAAATTTGGGCTTTCTGGTAGTAGCATATCTTAAAAAATCATCACTGAAAAATATATTAATCTAGAAAAATATATGGAACAAACCATGACGGACTACTTTAGAAGGGAATGGTCGGAAATCTGTATTAGGGGTCAGGATATGCCAAGCGATAGTCTGGTACTAAGACAGGTTTTTCGACTCCTAACTGAAAAAAGGTAGAAAATCCTAGTCTGTCCCAGGTTCTTTAGACCATAATTTACAAAAGGAAACGGTCTACTTGAAATCTAGTTGGTGGTTTATTTAAAATCTTCTACACTTGAATTTTATTTCTTGCTGAACGTATGGGTAAGATTCACAAACTGTTTATTTAAATAAAGAATATATGCAGTGTACTCTGGGAAGAAATGCTGTGACAGCACCTGAGTGAAAATAACATAATTCAACAGTAACGCCAAATATTAAGGCACTCTGAATACAGAGCTTGCTTTAAGATCTTGTTAATCATTTAGATATAAAAATGAATGAGTGTCGTACAGGTACTAGGCAATTTCATCTTTGAACTGATTCAGTACAAGCTGCCAATGGGATCATCAGCTGAAGGTGTCTCAAGAAGATAAATATCCTCTTGCATTAGCGAGTCTGGGCAGAACAAAAAACTACCAACATGAAGGGGCTTTGAAGAGGCAAACAGAATCACAGCATACATCAGTAAGCTATTCCTACCAGAGCTAAAATATGAATGCCATTGCACAGGTAAATTCATCTTTTATTCCATCTACAACTCTAGCCACACACATTCAAGAAAGATTAATTCAGATTAAAGACTTTCACAACCTGAATCAAAAAAATCAAGTGAATAAACAGACCTGTATAACAAGGGGAAAGTTGAAAAGCTTGGCTTATGCTGTACAAAATACAAGGACAAAATGAAAAAAGAAAAAAAAGTATTGCTAGTATTGCTTTCAATTAACATATTAATATGCTAATACAGAAGGAAGGAGAAGATCTATTAAGCTGTAAAATGTTGGACTGGACTCAGTGTTGGACTGGATTCTTTTCCAGTTTTGGTAGCCATGCTTCTGACTCAGTGCCCCTGAAAATTAAGCCATAGATGATGCTTCTCAAACGTTTCTTCTTTTGCCAATCACAATGATGGTAGAAATTATATTAGTAATAAGTACTTCTTGATACACCTTGATTGTCGTCTGCCATCCTCACAAGCTAGAGCCTATCTAAAATTGAGACAGTTATGTGGCACGCATCATATTTTTCCACCACTCTTCTGTTATTTGAAAACAGTGATATTACAAATGGATACATCACAATACACTGTTAAGCACATTCAAACTTAATCGATCATTTATGGCTTGACAGTTTAGTTTATTACTATTTCAAATAGTATATTGGCTAGTTTCAAAATTTCTCCGAAGTTAAACCTTTATGATCTTCCTACTGTATTTTAAGTTAACGGTAAAATGTTAAAGACAGTACTACTGACACCAGTTTTTTAAAGAATTTAATCTTTGTCTTTATTTCTTACTTCTTGTATTACTTTCCTACAGATATATAAAAGCCTTGCTTATTTTTCTTAACCTTTCTGATTACTCTAAAGTGATACAAACACTCTGATGTTAATATCCATATAGTCTATCACAACATTAATGCTTTTTCCAAAAAAAGCTCTGAAGTTCAATGCCAGTAATGAACATCAGCAATATTCCATATTAAAAACATTTTTCTGAAGTTCAAACAAAAAACTATAGCTAATTATAATCATTGTTTAATTTGCTAATTTTCAGTGAACACCACCTAACATCTGATATTCACCACGAATGAGTTATCCCCAAAATATAGGTTATCAATCTTTCACTGACAGTAACGTTCTGAACGATGTATTCTGCAATACCATCTAATTTACTGTGCAGGTATGGAAACACACATACTGAGATACAGAACAAATTAAAAAGTATTTTAGTATGAAAAATCTTCCTACCAGAGCTGCCATGGCCCAGCCAGTCTTATTGTAGATGAATTCTAAATTATTTCTTCGCAGATATAACAAGCCACCAACAAGAGACACCAGAAGAGCCAGTGCAATTGTACCAGAATAGTTAGGAGGCCTGAATACTCTAATCTAGAAAAGGAAAATAAATAAATGCATACATACAGATCACGTTCCATTTAAACAAACAGGGAGCATTGCAAATATTGGTTTGCAAAGACTGATCAGTAAAGCTAACCTTAAAATAATAAAAAGTAGCCCTCTAATAAATACATACTATAAAAATATTATAAAATATAATACATTATATTATAAAAAAAATTTTCAGTACTATTTTTAAACTGATAACTTGTTACTAATCTCAAAACTTAAAAACAGAATGTTCCATTATCTCTTCTTTAAGAAAAATAAACTGTTCAATCCCCCCAAATTATTTCTTCAACAGGCAGGTGGGAATGCCTAAATTTAGGAGCAGCTGCCTTTTGGATCTGTCTGTTTTGTCTATAATACTGCACACATACGTTAATTAGTATCAACTAGTTATCACAATGGCACTACTTGTTTTCATCTAGAATAAGACTACATAACAAAGCAAGACTGCAATACATTCTGCAAGTTGTAGAAGTTACCACAACTACCATACCGGTAATTCATATTTTGTTTATTTTAATCTATTTAAGAGCTTATGCTTGAGGAGAAAAAAGGCATTAAGGAAAGATGGCACTTATTGTCAGCCCATCACAGACTACAAAGATACATTTGGCTCCAACTTTTGAAACTGTCAAAAGACTCACATGAACATCTGTTCTGTCAGCTATCCATTTAGCTAGCTGTTCAGCTGCAAATCCGATTCTCTGCAGGTCAAATGTGTCAGCTCTCTTGGGTTTACCTTTTGGAGGAAAATGCATAAAAGTCGGAGCAGAGTTCATATTCAGCTATAAAAACAGGAAAAATGGCAAAAAAATTAATAATGCTAGACTTAGCATTATTGTTTACCTTAGTTGTTTACCTTTTAAGTATCAGACAACAGAAGTATAATTAGTATGCAAAATATTATTTGCCTTCCCAAACATAAATTACTCTTTTCATACATCCTCATGTACAGTCCAATGGAAAAAAATGCTCAGTACCTTCCTTCCTATTTCTTTCTGGTAGATTCTTTAAGAAGCTTAGCTAACCAACAGGGTATTTCAGATGGAAACTTTTCTGAGTAAGAGCATCATATGCTTTAAAATTCTTACACTCAGTGCAGTGTGATTAGTAAAACACAGTCCCTTCTCTCTTCCAATTTATTAAAGCATATTAGATCTTAATTCTAGGAAGAAAAAAGTTTACACACTTTGATACTGTTTGACTTGCCTAACTCTCACCAATCCAAAGTTGTCTAGTCTAAACGCTTCACCCAGTCTTCCCCTGGTTTCAAGGCAGACCCCATCCAGTAGCGATTATTCTCTTTTGAATACAGAAAGGCCTAGATAACTAGCTTAGTTACATAACTGCTCCTGGGAATGACATGAATGCTAATCCAGGTCACTGGAACTTCTCATACATACTCATATACTGCGCATACAGTTTGGAAGATTGTTTAAATGAAACTCAGGGGAATTGATGTCTTTAATCAAAGAAATAAAAAATCCATAATATGACAGATGGTAAGTTCTGTAAGTTATATTTCATGGGATAAAAAAAACTCAAAGATGACAAACAAATACACTTATATTTGCCACTTTATATTGCAACTTCATATTTATATTGTGATTTCACCTGTGCAAGCTAATATAGGACAACGTATTTTTGCTATACAAAATTTCTCCAGTTCATTTCAGAAATAGTGCAACGCAACACTTGAAGACATTTGAAAAGTAACAAAAAAATCAGATAAATATTTAAAGATGATGTAGTATGGCATTCCTTAAATAAAAAAGGCAGGGTAAACTTATTTATTTGTTTTTATTTATTATTTGTATTCCTGCAAAATGACTTTTATTACATTAGCAAACCATATCACAGAATCACAGCATGGCCAAGGTTGAAAGGGACCTCTGGAGATCATCTAGTCCAACCTCCCTGCTCAAGCAGGGTCACCTAGAGCACATTGCACAGGATCGCGTCCAGGTGGCCTTTGAATCTCTCCAGCGAAGGAGACTCCACCACCTCTCTGGGCAACCTGTTCCAGTGCTCTGTCACCCTCACAGTGAAGAAGTTTTTCCTCATGTTCGGACGGAACTACCTGTGTTTCAGTTTCTGCCCATTGCCTCTCGTCCTGTCGCTGGACACCACGGAGAAGAGTCTGGCCCCATCCTCTCGACGCCCTCCCTTCAGATACTCGTACACATTGATCAGATCCCCTCTCAGTCTTCTCTTCTCCAGGCTGAACAGGCCCAGCTCCCGAGGCCTTTCTTCATAGCAGAGATGCTCCAGTCCCCTCATCATCTTTGTAGCCCTCTGCTGGACTCTCTCCAGAAGTGCCATGTCTCTCTTGTCCCGGGGAGCCCAGAACTGGACACAGTACTCCAGGAGAGGCCTCAGCAGGGCTGAGGAGAGGGGCAGGAGCACCTCCCTCCACCTGCTGGCAACACTCTGCCTAATGCACCACAGGAGACCATTGGCCTTCATGGCCACAAGGGCACATTACTGGCTCATGGTTATCTTGCGGCCCACTAGGACACCCAGGTCCTTCTCTGCAAAGCTGCTTTCTAGCAGGTGAACCCCCAACCTGTGCAGGTGCATCAAGTTATTCCTCCATTATGATTATTTAATCAAGTACTGAACTGATCATTAAAAATTATCAGTTATTAAAATATTTCCCATGTAAGCAACCAGCCCTCTCCTTTAGTGAACTGATTTGGAAGCAAAAATATTCTCAGAAAGGCTAAGAGAAATGTTGCAAGATAGTCTAATACAATATTTAATAAGATACTGAATCCTTCTGACATTGTATAGAGTTTGCATGCACTGGCTCTGCAACTGCTTTGTCATTTCTCGATATTCATAATAAAAGCTGAAAGTCAAAATCAAATGCTTTTTTTTTGTTATGGCATCAGTATTGTAGCACTGGTCAGTAAAATTTAAACCTCTTATTATGCTATATGCACACATAAACGCAAAGTCAAAACAGCATTTCTGAAAAATTCACCTTAAAATAGACATCGGTCATTAATGTCATTTATTTTTAACACTATTTCTCAAAGAGAGCCAACAAAATTCACACATTTCATGTAATTTGGTGTAATTTTTGTATGCTTTTAAATACATATATCATCTGAAACAAATTGAATTTGTGCCTTTTTAAACGAGGAATAAATTGGACAGAACTATTATGTATTGATTGGCTTAATGATAAAACAACATATTTTGTATTATTGCAACCACGTAGGAGGATGGAAATTTTTTTTGAAGTCCATCTGCACTAAAATTAATAGCAAAATCTCAAGAATAGGCATTAGTTCACATAACACATTAGTTTATACAACACATTCCAGGATGATTACTGGAAACAAAAATATTTACTAAAGACAGTAATTAAACTTTTAAAAATATTAAATATTTGAATAAATACTGAACATTTTCCCCGAAAATTTTTAGAACATATTTCCCCAAAGGTGGTTAAAAAAAAGTATCCAGAGAACTTAACACTTTTTGTTGTTCTTAATCTGCATTAATAGTCCAATCAGTGGATAAATAACAAATAGAAAAATCATTTTGGTATTTAGTATTATTTAGCATTATTATTATTTGGTATTTAGTAAACATTATTTTTCAAGGGTTGCATTTTACTTTTCTCAACTACTCAATTTCACGGTAGGCCTTACACTAGTCTCCAGAAATTGATTCCTTACTCTGCATAGCCACTCCACAAAATCTAAAAAATCTAAAAATAACTCTGCGCTTTTCCCTGAAGAACTTTCAGGAGTTGAAGATTACCTCACATAAAGACTTTTAATTAAGAGCTTTTTTTTTTCCCCACAAAGATAAAATAAAGGAAATATTTAAATGGAAAGTTACTTGCACTGCACTTAATTCCAGAAAACCACATTAACAATGGGTTGACAAAACTTCATATAAATTTAACATGAGCTAAAGTCAAATATTGTAAACTATATTTGGCAAATGCTAAAAGTGGCCATTAGTATAATTGGTCTTCACTAATAACACAGAAACTCTAGTACCTGATACGTGTAACCAGGGAGAATTTACATATGAACCACTTACAAATGCATCCACCTACAAACAGAAAACAAGTTTTCTTACGTTATTTGGCAAATAAGGATGTAGTTCTAAAAATAACTGGTCTGTACAAAACAATTTAAAAAGTTTCACAGTATCCAATATATTTACCTGTTGAAAAACATCTGCCCCTTCATCATAATCCACTATTGTAAAAAACAGTTTGTTTGAAAAAGCAGATGAATAGCGCCATGAATTGGCCAGCACTTGATACTCTTCATTAGCTTGCCTGTTAGAGAAAAGAACGAAGCATACATCAGTGAGGGATTTACCAGCAACAAAGATTCTGTAACCACCATTCTCAACACTGACACCACCTATTAAAAGAAGTTTCAGCTAAGTATGCAAATCTGCTTCATGTCTGCCTTCTCCAGAATTACAAATACGTAACATCAAACTAATGCCAAAGACAACCCACAGCATGTTAACAAAAAAAGGGAGTAATGTTTTTCAACATTAAAAGCCTTAAAAACAGGAGTACCTGAGTGGCATCACCCATATCTACCAACAGATCCATGCAAAGAGATGCTTGCATGGTGCTTGGGTACCATATCAGGATTTACTCATTGAAGACAGATATACATCAATTCTGAAACTAGTGGAAAAACCTAGAAAGCAGTCTGCCTACACCTGGTGAAAAACTGCTAAACACCGAAGAAATAATAGTAACTAATGGAACAGCAGCTTGTAAGTAGCATAAAACACTCAGCATTATCTCTGTAAAACTTGTTTTATAAGTAATAGAAGATAACCTTTGCACAATATATAGGACTAAAAAAACTTTTCTATCATCATTAGGAAGTTACATTGTTACTACTCAAATTTGTGAGAAGGCCTCTTCGTCGTAATACCATCAGTTGCACTTCGCTGTCTCTGCATAGAGGAGGATGATTCTGGGATCCTGACCAGCAAAGTTCTCCAAATACACAATCGCAGAACCATACAACCGCAGATTCTGCCACAGGACATCCCCTATCAATGAATTATTCAGAAAAAAAGGAACTGAAAGGATCCTTGCACTACTTCAGGCTTTATGCATTTTCCTTCTCTATTTCCGTATTACAAGTTAATCACATCTATTACAGAGTCCAAACCAAGGCTTCACCATTTGGCAACTTATCTTTGCATGTGGAAGGATGCAAAAATAGCGTAACTGCATTCTGTAGCTTTTCTCAAAACAGTGTTTCTGTAAAATCAGTTACATGTATATGATGATGCAAAATACTATTTATTTAAAAGCTGTATCTGCAAAATTTGGTTTTACTGCAACAGAGAAACTGTGCATTAGACACATATAGTATTTTGAGAGAGCAAAGGAAGGGGGAAGAGGAAGATAGGACCAAAGCTGTCAGAAGAGCCCCTATTTCCTCATAACTGAGATTAGCCTTAGGCACAAGCTATAACACTAGTAAAGTTGTGCTGTATTAAGGAATATATTGCATACAAGAATATCTATTATGAAAAAGAGTTAAAATGGAATTTGATCATCTCTTACCACATATACATATACACACACATATTTTATATACATACATACAGATATATATATATATA